AGTCTCAATTGATTATAAGGGGGCTCAAATTAAAACAAAAAAAGAAAAATTGACCTCAAATTAAGGGGCGAGGATTCAATGCCTCTTACGTCTATGAATGGAACATAGATGGAATGTCGGAATACAACATCTTAAGTTTGCTTCAATAAATGACCATGGCGAGCAAATGCCTACAAAACCCAAACCAGAACCCCAAATCGAGCTATAGCTAAACTCCTTATAGTAGGTTTCTTTGGCGAATTGAAAGAATGGTGGGACTATCATTTCACTACCCAATAACACCTAGAAATCCTAAACTACATACAAATTGATGCGGATGGGTTACCTATCCTAGATGACTTATGAGAAACCATTCAAGATGCGGTTTCAACACTTATCTTGACCATTTCCCTACATTTCATAGGAGATCCCTCTTACCTTAATGACAAGAATGCTTGAACTCCTAAGGAACCTTAGGTGTAAAAAACTCGGTGACTTTCAATACTACAAAACCACTTTCCTCACCAAAGTCATGCTAAGGGAAGATTCCAACCAACCCTTTTAGATAGAAAAGTTCCTTGCAAGTTTACCAACCCTTTTAGGAGAGAAGGTTAGAACCCCTATTAAGGATGCTTTTGGTGACTAAATACCTTACGACCATTTGACATATGGTGAATTGATCATTTTAACCCGAAATAAGGTCTTAAGATTTGCCAAGACCTAAAACTTCAAAAACACCTCAAATGGGAAATGAGGAAAACCGGACAAGAACTTGGTAGCTTACGTAAACAATTTGATATCCCTAACACAAAACCCTCATCCTCGAGTTGCCAAGGCAATTGTGATAAGAAGCCTCATAGTAAGCCATACAAAAAGCCCTATCGTCATCACAAAACAAAATCCAAAGAAGAACCTTACTATACTAAGCCTTTCAAACAACCCAAAAAGCCTTTTAGGAAGACTAAGTTTAAGCTCGAGTCTAAAACCCAACCCAAAGGACTTTACCTATTATAAATATGGATAGAAGGGTCACATCTCCGGATACTATAGGATAAACTCTAGACTACAAGAACTCCAATTAGAAGAAGAAACCATTAGCAAAATCTCTCGCTCTTCTTATTGAAACATCCGATTCCTTAGACCTCTGTGATAGTGAAGAAACATTCCAAGTAGATGAGCTGATTACTTCTTCTAGTTCAAACCCTAGTTCGGATATAGAGCCTAAAACTAGTACAAATAAAGTAATATAGACCAAAGATCGGGACTTTATCCTTGATCTTATTAGACGTATAGATGACCCGTAACTACAAAAAGAGTGCCTAGATAAAATCTTAAAATCTATTAAGGAAAAACCTATAGAAAGACCAAAATCCTCAATTCTACCTTCTACTAGTATCGACACGTATGACCTTACTCGTTATCCTAGATAGAAAAACAAAAAACCAACGACCACGATCTAGGAACTACGAGTCGAGATCAAAACCATCAAAGCCGAGCTTAATGAGCTTAAAGAAAAACAAACCCAAAATTTAGGATTCCTAAAACTCCTTCTAGAAAAAAATATACAAGCCAAGAGTCCAATTCCGAGGATGAAAACCTAGACATATAAAACCTAGAAAATCTAGAAAGGGTTCCGGAAGATTTTCTTTTTGTTTTACGAGAAGTAACTCTTATAAATACTTAATCAAAATCACTCTTGTCTTTCAAAATAATTTTCAAATTGAAACTATTGCTTTGTTTGATACTCGGTGTTGATTTGAATTGCATAATAAAAGGTATAGTTCCAAAACGATTTCATATCAAAACCAATGAAAAACTTTACGTAGCAAACAATTCCAAAATGACCATACATGGTAAGACGAAGCCTCCGTGGTCAATGGGACAACGGTTATCAAAAATCATTTTCTCGCTTGTTGAAAATATGCATCATATGGTGATATTAGGCAAGCCCTTTATTAACCTCATAACCCCCTACAAGGTTAATGATAGCATTTCTTTCACATCCAAGCATATAAAACTTGTTTTCCCTTTTATTGAAAAATCCAAGACCGGAAATCTCAATATTAAAAAAGCATGTTCTATTTATAATTTCAAGATAAATGCTTTAATCAAAGGAAAAAGTAGCATCTTTTTCATCTACTTCAAGATGTTTCTTTTCAAAAAATACAACGCCGATTACACCATGATTTGATGAAAAACAAGATTTCGATTTATAAAAACTTATTAAGAATGAAATATGTTCTAATTTACCCAATGCCTTTTGGAATAGGAAGCACCATAGTGTTGACCTTCCCTATGAAAAAGACTTTGATGAAAAATAGATTGCTATCAAAGCCAAACCTACTCAAATGAATGCCGACCTTGAACAACATTGTAGGTTAGAAATTCGGGACTTTGAATCCAAAGGTCTTATCTAAAAATCTAGGTCACCATGGTCTTGTACAGCCTTTCTATGTTAATAAGAATTCTAAAATAGAAAAAGGAACACCTAGATTAGTGGTCAATTATAAACCCTTAAAAAAAGCCTTAAGATGGATTAGGTAACCTATTCCTAATAAGAGGATTTGTTACAAAAGTTGAATTCAGCCTTTGTCTTCTCTAAGTTTGATATGAAGTCGGCTTCTAGCAAGTCTAGATCAATCCTACGGATAGATACAACACTACCTTTACGGTCCCTTTTGGACGAGTATGAATGGAAAGTCATGCCCTTTGGTCTTAAAAATTCTCCTTCGAATTTCGGAAAATCATGAATGATATTTTTCAGCAATACTCTACGTTCTACATTATTTACATAGATGATGTTCCGATATTTTCAAATTCCATTGAACAACATTTCAAGTATTTGAAAACATTTTTTTATGTGGCTAAGCAGAATGGTTTAGTAGTTTCAAAATCCAAGATTTCTCTTTTCCAACTAGCATACGTTTCTTAGGCCATTACATTACCTAAGGAACAATCACCCCTATAGAGAGATCTTTAGCCTTTGCAAATAAGTTTCCTGATCGAATTCTTGAAAAAACCCAATTACAAAGGTTCCTAGGAAGCCTAAATTATGTCCTAGAATTATGTCCTAACATTAACCGTATTACAAAACCCTTGCAAGATAGGTTAAAGAAAACCCCGAGTTCCTTGGTCCGATGAACACACTAGAATAATTCAACGGATCAAGAAAAAGTCTTAGAAATCCCATGTCTTCATCTTGCAAACCCCTATCTACCCAAAGTTATGGAAACTAATGCGTCCGAATTAGGATATGGTTGGATACTGAAATAGGTTTCTTCGGGAAAAGAAAACATTGTCCAGTTCACTTCTACACATTGGCATGAATGTCAAAAGAACTACTCTACAATAAAAAAACGAAGTTCGTAGCATTGTCATGTGTATACAAATATTTCAAAGTGATTTACTAAATCAAAAATTCCTTTTATGCATTGATTGTAAATCCGCAAAAGAAGTTTTATAAAAAGATGTTCAAAATATTGCATGAAAATAGATTTTTGCTAGATGGCAAGCCATCTTTATTATTTTTGATTTAAAAATCAAATTTATTAAAGGTGAATAAAACTCCATTCCTAATTTCTTAACTTAGGAATTTTTGCAAAACAAGACATGATGCCTCGCAAAGAAAAAGGAAAAAAGCCTATACAAAGTCTAGATACCCCTCAAACACAAAACAAAGCACGAGGCCTCAACTCTAAAACTCCGTATCTTCGACCCAAACCATAATCCCATGGGCGGATGCTATTGCAAACCAAAAAGAAACTCCTAAAAAGGCCTAAATGGTTGAAATTTGGGTCCAAAATCTTTCAACCCAGCCTGAACTCCTTCGGCCTTACAACAAATCTCGGGTATGTCATCTCAATCTAATTTAAAAATCGAGAAAGGTTCTTCCTCCTCAAAACCCCTTTATTAGGACTCAAATAAATCTTTACAAATTTCTTGTCAAAACCCCCGGATCATTTGTTCTCAAAACAAATTTAAAACATCGGACTCTAAGTATTTTATGAAAAAACATTTTCAAAATATTATTTTTGTAGAAGATGGATTTTATCATCGAGCACCTTTCTATGGCAATTCAAAAGGTTTTTCCTCCTAGATTGAATTTTAAACCATGGGACTTAACCAAACCATTTTCCTATTATATGGTAATCCTCGAACACTTTGGCTTAGTAAACTTTAAGCATTCCCGGCTTGATGAAACCCACAAAGAACCAACCTATTCCACCTGCCATATCTTAAAAATCATCCATCTAATAGATCGGAACAAGACCTTACAAAACCAAAAATCATCCCGACCAACTTCAAAACCAAAATTAGCCATTGCCAATCTTATAGTTACTTGGATCGCCATGCAGACATGGTTCAATGCTTTCCTCTTACAAAATCGAAAGGCAACCACTATTGGCTTTTCTATTTCGATACTAAAATAAACACTTCAAACCTTCTCCTTTGGTTTCTCCAATGGCCAAATTATTATGGTTCTATTCCGGTATTCTCACACTAGAGGTATCTTAAAGTTATAACCTCTTCAAAACCGATTATCAACCTTCAAACATAGAAAAAAGATTTGCCCCTCCTTTTCTTTTCTACACAAGGTTTTTCTTACCATGGGTTTGGTCTTGGTGTTACGACTATGATGACCATGATAACATCATAGTCCTAATCGGAAGATTCAAAGTCAAATGGTGGAATGCTTTCAAAATTCCAAAAGCATTATCACAATCCTCGGTTGAATAATGGCTCACAAAAAGGGCCGTATCAAACCTAGCCCAACCACTTCGAGTTTCCTAGCCCAAAGATCCTTTGCAAATGCCGAGTTAGCCTCTCGCAAAAGCCGAAGAAGAATATTTAGTAATTCTCACCCAATTATTGGAAAATAGGTCCGATGCCTCACTAATAGCCACCTTAGACTCCGAGCCTACATTGACTTGGGAAACGACATCGAGGATAACTATTTGGGTATCTTTCCTCTCGCTCTTCATCGGTAAGGAAAGTGACAAAGAACCTTTTGATGATATTAGAAAAAAGAAGAAGAAGACGAAACGGACAAAAAATCAAAAGAAGAAAAAGACAAAGATTGCCACTTTCTAGGCAATTTCCCACTCCAAGACAAAGATTGCCACTCTCCAAGTAATTTCCCACTACAAGACGAAGATTGCCACTTTCCAGTGCAATTTCCCACTCCAATACAAAGATTGCCAGTTTCTAGGTAATTTCCCACTCCAAGACGAAGATTGCCACTTTCTAGGCAATTTCCCACTAAAAGACAAAGATTGCCACTTTCCGGGCAATTTCTCACTAGAAGACATCCATCCTCCATCTATTTAATGAAAGCTTTTCTCTTTGTAAAAGAAAAAATTTAGTTTAGGCAATTACTTAAAACATAGTTTTCTCTCTCTAAGCTTGTTCTCCGTAATCCCTTTGAATCGATTTCCTTACTTGTAAGCCACAAAACCGAAGGAATCATATCTCGCTTCCTTCGTTTTATGTAAATTGTAAGTTTATTTCAATAAATAAAATATCTTACTTTCATTTATTTCTTTTACATCTTCATAGTAAGGTATATCGACCGGAAACCACAACATAGCTCCTTGACGATACATAGTATTACCGTAGCTTAATCGTGGTAAAACAATGCCACGTACCAATCTACAAATTGGTGGTTGGCTCGCCGCCCATTTTTATTTCCCCGCTTTCAATTTGTTTTTATTTCCTTGTTTTCAATTTTGTATTCCGGGTTATTTTTTCGTGGTATCAAAACCATGTTTAGGTACATGGCTTTGATACTAGACACCACCAACAAATAAACGTATAATCTTTTTCTCTAGTATCAAAGCCATGTTTTGATATTTGTTGGTGGTGGTATGTTTATATGTTTATTTTTTTCATAATTAGATCTTTCTAGTAGCATGGGTATAGACAATTGAGTTGGTGCCATAGTCATAAGTCCTAGGAGAGGCGGTAAATGTATTTTTATCACCTTCGTAACTCGCGTACATCCGTTACAAAACAAAGTCTAGGTATGGATTCCATATTTTGTAGATCTACCTCCTTCTCAAACTCTTATACCTCCGAAACCTCAAACTTTAGGAAGATAATAAATAGTGTAGAATATTTTATAAAAGATTTTAAAAAACAAATAGATAATTGGGAAATCCCTAAGGTACACAAAGATGAGATTTACAAAACCTTAAAGTATAATCTGTTTAAGATAGAGTACGCCATTAAAACCGAAGAATAAGATATCCAGACTTTCAAAACCATTTGAGACCATACGTCTCCTCTCTTCCAAAACCTTACAAAAACATAGAGAGAAGAAATTCAAATGCATCCACATAGGCTTAGTCCAAGTGGGGATTAAACCACTTACAAAAGAAGGATTGAACACTCGAATCCTAGCAATCCTTAGAGACAATAGGTTTATCGGTTTTAAGGATTCATTACTTAGTTCTATCGAATCCGAGTCTATGTAATGGATCTATATCCTTTGATTGTTATCCAAACTTCACAGTTTCCCCGAATAACAAAAGAATCTTGGAATCTTTAGCTTTACGAGATCAAAACCCATAATTACAAAATGTTAGAAAGATCGATCCCAGTTGCATTATCCATTACAAAGCAATGACCTTTGCCTTTTCCTCAATAAATAAGAGATAGTCCACCAAAGGCGAGGCTCTCCTTTTACAAACGGATCCGACCGGATCCAACACTGTCATTCCTAAACCTATTAGGTGGAAAGACATAATCCTACTAGGTGAATAGATCTTAGTAGGCATAAACCAACCAGAACCTTTTCCCATTCATGAAATCCCAAAACCAAATACCCAAATTAGATCCATATCCCAACAGGTAGATGGTAGTGTAAGACTTTCCTTTAATAGGAGATTTATCGGTAGTAGATTCTCTAATGAAGCCTCTACCTTTGAAACCTTCAACATAGGTAGAATTTCTAAGATTCCCTCTATCATAAATGTCCCTTTTTCCAAACCTAAGTATTCCACTTCAAATGTACCTAACCCTTTTTTACAAAATGTTGACTATTGTACAAATATCCCCAAACCTAGTTATTCAAACCAAGACGATTCTCCACCCGAATCTCCTACCGCTTCGCCATCGTTGAAAACATTGCCAATTAATGTAATGTGATTGAAAAAGATGATTTTGAAGTAGATAAAAAATATCTACATGATGATTTTTATGCAAAACATAGTTTTGAAAAAAAACAAATTTGGTTCTTTAAAAACTTTCTTGACAACGGGAAAGAAATACAAAATAAATTTTATGAATTTGTGAGTCTACATAAAGTTCATATTTTGTTCTTTGATTAGTTTGAAATATATGTTTTCGCAAATGACATTTCTTATCCTTTCAAATCTATGAATCCCGTTACCACTAGGAATAAAAGCCGAGTATAGGAAGTAGATAGGAAGACCATCCAATCGAACATCCTCCTCTTAGAAAACTTACCTTTTCCCATGGAGAAGCTAAGATATATGCATGTCCCTACAAATTGGTGAAGGATGATGACTCGCCAAGATCCAAAATATTGTTCAACAAAACAATTTTCTAAATACCAACCTACAAACCATAGGAAAACAACTAGGAAGGATAGAATCCCATATCCAACGATCGGTTATTTTACCTAACCCAAAACCAAGTCGTAGAAACTACGGATCAAAAATTCAAAAATCTAGTCTTCAAACCTTTCCGGGTTTCTAGGACCGACCAACAATAGATACAAACAAACGAACTCGAGTTTCTAAAAATCATGAGAGACCGAACTTAGTAAGACGAGATAGAAATACCCTCCGGTATAGGAACCTCTAGGCAAGAAGTACCCGACACACCCAATTCCTATAGTGTCAACATACTAGACCAAAACTCGGATCAAGAACCTCTCCTTGAAGTGAACAAACTTTATTAGAAAAAATCTTTACTTATGATCACCGCCCTTGACATAGGAGAAATGCCAAACAAGCTTGCCCAACCAAGATTAAATGCCTCTTCCGTCTATGAATGGAACATAGATGGAATGTTAGAATACAACATCTTGAGTTTGCTTCAACAAATGACCATGGCAACGAAATGCCTACAAAACCCAAACTCGAAACCCTAGATCTAGTTGTAGTCGAACTCCTTATAGCAGGTTTCTTTGGAAAGAAAAGTTCCTTGCAGGTTTACTAACCCTTTTAGGAGAAAAGGTTAGAACCCGTATTAAGGATGCTTTTGGTGACCAAATCCCTTACGACCAATTGAGATATGGTGAATTGATCAGTTTAACCAAGAAAGAAGGTCTTAAGATTTGCCAAGACCTAAAACTTCAAAAACACCTCAAATGGGAAATAAGGAAAACCGGACAAGAACTTAGTAGCTTCGCAAACAATTTGATATCACTACCACAAAACCCTCATCCTCGAGGTTGCCAAGGCAATCGCGATAATAAGCCTCATAGGAAGCCATACAAAAAGCCCTATCGTCATCACAAAACAAAATCCAAAGAAGAACCTTACTATACTAAGCCTTCCAAACAACCCAAAAAGCCTTTCAAGAAGACTCGGTTTAGGCCCAAGTCTAAAACCAACCCAAAGGACTTTACTTGTTACAAATGTGGATATAAAGGTTACATCTCCAAATACCGTACGATAAACTCTAGACTACGAGAATCCGAGTTAGAAGAAGAAACCATTAGCAAAATGTCTACTCTTCTTATCAAAGCATCCGATTCCTCGGACCTCTCTAATAGTGATGAAACATTCCAAGTATATGAGCTTATTACTTCTTTTAGTTCAAACCCTAGTTCGGACATAGAGCCTAAAACTAGTACAAAACAAGTCAATATATTGACTAAAGATTAGGACTTTATCCTTGATCTTATTAGATGAATAGATGACCCGAAACTATAAAAAGAGTATCTAGACAAGTTATTAAAATATATTGAGGACAAACCCGTAGAAAGACCAAAACCCTCAATTCTACCTTCTATTAGTACCGAACGTACGACCTTACTACTATCCTAGATAGAAAAAAAAAAAACCAACGACCACAATCTAGGAACTACATGCCGAGATCAAAACCATCAAAGCCGAGCTTAAGGAGCTTAAAGAAAAAAAAAACCAAGATTCGGGACTCCTAAAACTCCTTCTAGAAAAATATGCAAACCAAGAGTCCAATTTTGAGGATGAAAACCCGGAAATATAAAACCTAAAAAACCTAGAAAGGGTTCTAGAAGATTTTCTTTTTTTTTTTACGAGAAGTCGCTTCTCGCAAATACTTAATCAAAATCACTCTTGTCTTTCAAAATAATTTTCAAATTGAAACTATTACCTTGTTTGATACTAGTGCTAATTTGAATTGTATAAAAGAAGGCATAGTTCTAAAATGGTTTCATATCAAAACCAATGAAAAACTTTCTACAACAAACAATTCTAAAATGACCATACATGGTAAGACGAAGCCTTTGTGGTCAATGGGACAACTGCTATCAAAAATCATTTTCTACTTCTTGAAAATATGCATCATATGGTTATATTAGGCACGCCCTTTATTAACCTTATACCCCCACAAGGTTAATGATGCTAGCATTTCTTTCACATCCAATCATACAAAACTTGTTTTCCTTTTTATTGAAAAATCGAAGATTAGAAATCTCAATATTATAAAAGCATGTTCTATTTATAATTTTGAGATTAATGCTTTAATCAAAGGAAAATAATAGCATCTTTTTCATCTATGTCAAGATGTTTCTTTACAAAAAATACAATGCCGGTTACACCATGATTTGATGAAAAACAAGATTTCGATTTACAAAAACTTATTGAGAATGAAATCTATTCGATTTACCAAATGCTCGTTGGAATAGGAAGCACCATAGTGTTGACCTTCCCTATGAAAAGGACTTTGATGAAAAATAGATTCCTACCAAAGCCGGACTTATCCAAATGAATGCTAACCTTGAACAACATAGCGAGGTTAGAAATTCGGGACTTAGAATCCAAAGGTCTTATCAAAAAATCTAGGTCACCATGGCCTCAGTGCGACTTTCTATGTTAATAAGAATTCTAAAATAGAAAGAGGAACACCTAGATTTGTGAGCAATTACGGACCTTTGAACAAAGCCTTAAGATGGATTAGGTACCCTATTTCTAATAAGAAGGATTTGTTACAAAAGTTGAATTTCGCCTTTGTCTTCTTTAAGTTTAATATGAAGTC